CGACGTGACACGGTGCATAGACTCGTCGGGAAAATCAACTGTTCCTTCCTCCAGCTGTTATCATAGCGAAGAATGCCCTGACAAACACGAGGTAAGATTATACCCATATACAGTATGTGCGCCGACTGCGTGAAATAATGGGCGACGTTTTTCTGTTTATTTGGAAATACCAATGAATCCCATCTTTTTGGCAAGGAAAACAATAGACAGAGGAACACATTGACACGCTATAGAAATTGCATTTGAACACAGCTAACAAAAGGGAATAATAATAACTGAAATTTTGGCAGAACAAACAGAGAAGCACATAAAAATAATTGACGAATGTCGAAAGAACTATGCAAAATCGAGTAAGTTCAAATACTAGTATTTAATATCGTTGGAATTCTTCCTTTTCAGCAATTCCCTTGTCCTGGGTGCGTTTCTTTACATTACCTTGCTTTGACGGAGGTTACTTATAGTTGCCATGTTTTTATGAAGGAAAACAGATATGTGAATATGTTCGCCCTGTAGTTAACTAGCTTCTTACTTTGTTGATTGATTGTTTCATTCGTTTATTTGTGCATTCACGCATACGTTCATTCAAACTGTCGTTTCTTCTTTCATTCAATCGTTTGTACGTTCGCTCGTTCATTCTCACAATCCACCATTCTCTTCGAGTTGTGTGGTCAAGTGCTACATGACGATTTTCTTATGGTTCCATTCTGTCGCCAAACGGTCAAAATTAGTCGTCTGCATTCTGAGCACTGACAGTACTCCTTCTGTACTCAAGTCACCTGAACTTTATTCTACTCCTTGGCCGTCATCCTTGTACTCTTGCCACGAAAGTCTGCTTTGTGAACTTTTCATGTGGCTTCCTGATCACATGTATCATCACCGCAGTTGTGATTCATTGATTAGAAGAAGAATACGCTTTGAAGCGAAATATGTATAACTGCTGCGTTTCTAAATTTCTCATCTTTTCGCCCCAGATCACGTTTCTTCCGACAGAGCGCAGTACGTTGTTGCCTCAACGATTGTGTCAACTTTCATCTCCTGCCCGATTTCGCTAAGGAAATTCTAATGCAAGCGTTGTTCTGATATTCCTAAGATTTTCCACCTGCCTTGGTGGCATTCCGAAAACCTGCTGAAAGCAATAAGCGACTTTTCTTTAGATTATACGTATCGAATTTGTTAGCGAATATTTGCACCATTCTATCAAGTATGAGTAATGCCATGCAAATTTCCTAGGTCGTTGCCATCAAAGTGACTGTAGCGATGCCGCTTTTCCTCTGTTTCCTGATTTCTGCAATAGTAGTTTGTCGACGGATCTTTCCTCCATCTTGCCATGAGTGAAATGCTTTTCTTACGTAGTAGAATGCGTGAAGAAGAGATTTCGCCATTCTTTCTCAGTGATTAATAGGGACTGTGACCCAGTTATAAGTAGTATGCTAACGACTTTTTTAAGACGAAACTGCCTTAAAAGTCAAAAGGAACTCTGTGATTGCTTATGCTAT